TGGCAGGCAGGGGTGGCTCAGATGGTTAGGCGTCTGCCTTCGGCTCGGGTCATGGTCCCAGAGTCCTGGGATCGAATCCCGCATCGTTGGGAGCCTGCTTCTCCCTCTGCCTCTCTCTCTCTCTCTCTCCCCCTCTCTCTGTCTCTGAGTAAATAAATAAAATCTTAAAAAAAAAAAAAAAGATTTGGCAGGCAGGTGGTAGGGATCCATGCTGTCTTGCTTTTGCCCAACGCAAGCCTTGTATGTAAGCTCTCTTTGCTTATTAGAACTGCCACCTACCAACCTGGAGTAGCCTGCCTCTTTCTCTGGTCTCTCTCTGCCCTCTGCATAAAAGGGGCTGGTTTCAGATTACACCAGGGAAGCTCCCAGGAGGGTTACAAACCAACAGCTGGCTAGCATACAGTTAAAGTATACACTTTTTCTGAGAAGAGGTTATTTTTCATAAAACAGCTTTCTAGAATAAGTTCCAATCAAAAGAAGCTGGGGGTTTTAACTAGAACCTTTGCGAAAGGCTATTGTGGGTCAAGCTGAGGCAATTCTGAGAACATACTCCTTGTCCAGAACACTCAGCAAACAAACAGGTTTTTTTACTTATTTAGTACTTTGTGCTTTGGCAGACAGGTGCAGAGCAGTGCAAGAGGGCTTCCTGGGGGCAGCTCTGAGAGTGATGGAAGCAGAACTGAGAAGGTTTGGAAGACAGAGATCAAAGGGATAAAGTCCCTAAGCCAACGGGACTCAGGAGAACAGAGTTCACAAACAAAAGCAAACACTGCTCAGTGAGGGCTGTTGAGAAAGTCTCCAGAGTGGCAGACTCTAGCATGAACATGTTAACTGAAGTCAGAATACCTCAAAAGCCTCAGAGGGAAAAAGCTACAGAATAGTCACTATCACTCAAAAGCACTTTTTTTTTTCTCGTAAACATACACTTAAGTGGAAATTTTAAAAATTCTGACATCTGTGAAGAAATCATGGGAGCTATTTTCCTGTAGCTCCCAAGTGGTTCCTCATTCTGAATACAGGTTTACTTTCGAAATAACAAATAATAAAATCTGCATCTGAAAATAAGTTTGGCTCTAATTCTCTCAGAAAAGACTGTACTATATGAGTTTATACAGCTATCAAAGGAATCGGGACATTTTAATTTAATATTGTAGCCTAATGTCTACTTCATGATTACAGGATCAGCAGCCATCACTCTCGTGAGCTCCTGTAAGCCGAGTACTTGAAGACACGCTTTTTTATGCAACAGCTCAATAAATACTCCCAACACCTGTCTACGATGGCTCCCCTCATTCATCAGAAGAGGGAACAACCCAGGGAAGTTGAGCTAGAATTTAACAGAGAATTTTTTTTTTTTTTTTACTTCAAAGTTTATCTTTTCTCTTTCAAATAGTATTTCACTGAAAGACTGCTGTACCTGGTATAAATGGCGTAACTGCAGGAAAACGAGGTGTGAATCCCCCTCCCCCACAAAAGGGAATGAAAACATATGAAAGTTCTCTTACTGGCACAGCAAGGTACACTACCGCCAAGAACCAGCCTGAGATCCACGTAACCCCAAAAGTATGTAGATCTTGATCAACATTCTCCTCTCAGATTTCAAACTCACTTCAGCAGCTGTTCCTGTGCTCTCACAGCTAGGATGCCCTTCTGAAGTGAGCCATGAGAAAATTCCTAAGGCGGAACCCCCTGGAAACGGTCGTTTGTTTTGCAAGAGATTCTAATGTTTGCTGGTGCAATGCTGCCACCACGTGGACCAACTTCTGAAAAAGTGGAACAAAATGACTCCTCAAGAGCAGTGAAGAGGACTCCTACCCATCATCGGAGTAAGAGGACTCAGGATTTCCATAGTAAAACAGATCATTAAAGGCCTTCACATGTTCAAAATTTTAACCATTTTGAGAAAATCAAACAGTTCTAAATGTGTATGTGTGAATATACATACTTAATCCTATCGTATACACGCATCCATGAAGGCAGTGACTAGTAATGGGTATTGGGACTCAGGACTAGGTTAGAATCCTGGCTACACTACCACTAGCTGTCTGACTTTGGGAAAACCTTGATCTCTAACATGGAATAACCCCTGCTTCACTGGGAAGATATGAGAACTAAGTAATACACTGTAACTAAAAGCTTCTATCTGGCATAGAATGCAATTAAATTTAAATTCCCTTTTTCCCAGTGACACATGGTCATCATAAGCCTCAGGAACTTCTTAGGTGTTTGAGCTACTACACTTTAATTCATGCACTCCTGTGTTCCCTATCAACAGTACCTGACCCAGCTGACAAAAAAAGAAAATCAGCGGTCTAAATGTTAGTTTTAACACTTTTTGGTAAAGAGCAGGACATACGGTTTGAGATGAAAAGTATGGGTTCAAGATCAAAAGTAGGCGTGTATGTCTGCTGGCTATCTTAATCCAAGCTTTTCAGTTCTTCACTAAAACAAGCATGAAGAGTTCAAAAAACTGATTTGAATGTAAGCCCAGGATAAGAGTAGGGCAAGCAAGGCACAAATTTAAGGAGGCACCCCACTTTCAGGCTTGTGCGGGTACACTGTTGACACCTGAATGTGAGTACCACCTTAAATTTTGCACCCTGTGTGCCTTGTTATCAGTTGAACAGTATCAGGGAAAAGTTCTGCTACTAGAAATCTGACAAGAATCAGAAAGATTTTCTATTTAGAGGGCAATAGGTCCAAAGGTAATTAATGCTGATACCTGCTCTAGGAAAATCGGCAATAAACACAGTAAAACAACAGTCATTCCTGAAACAGTTTCTCAAAATCTACCAATTAACCTTAAATATTCTCTAAAAGTTTTCTCAAAGATAACTGTGAAAGTCCCTCCAAATCACCTCCTGATTTGTTGTGTAAAAACAGGTTAAGAAATTTTAAGAGCAGGGTGCCTGGGTGGCCCAGTCGTTAAGCATCTGCCTTCAGCTCAGGTCGTGATCCCAGGGTCCTGGGATCGAGCCCCGCTTCGGGCTCCCTGCTCCGTGGGAAGCCTGCTTCTCTCTCTCCCACTCCCCCTGCTTGTGTTCCCTCTCTTGCTGTGTCTCTGTCAAATAAATAAAAAAATCTTTTTAAAAAAAAAAATTTTAAGAGCATTATAGTTTATAATGTTATATTACATTCAAAGAGACCCACTGACGTGTTGCCCGTTTAAATTCCGTATATGTAGATATGGCATGGGAGAAAACAGCTAAAAACAAGACTGGCACGTGTTGATGATGATTGATTGAATCTGGTGATGGTAAATGGGTTCATTTTATTTACCTACTGTTTTCATTCACTCTAATTTTGAATGTTTGAAAATTCCCATAAAAAGTATAAATAAATATATGTATAAGTACATATATTACTTGAAGGTATGCTGGGCTGGACAAAAACCAGCCCCTCCTCCACAATGAAAACTTAAAATAAGTCAAATTAGGCTTGTTCCAGATCGTGTCATCCTCTCAACTGATCTGGAAAAAAATCTAAGTGCTTGGGTACAACAAACAACAAAACAAAAAACCTCTTTACTAAACCATCAGGTAGCCCCTATCCCTGACCACCTAATTTTATAGGTTCTATTTTGAAGAATTTACATTGGCATAAAAATGCCTTTTCCTCCCCAAACTGGAATTACCTATGAGTTAGAACTCATTTTCACCTCACTCCACTCCACATTCTTAGCCCCACTGAGTATTTGAGTGCATGATATCCCATTCACCTGGAAGCCTGAAACCTGGAGCATGGAGCCCAAACTCTAATCTTCTCATTTGTCCTCAAGTAGAAAATTTCAAAGACAGGTGCTCAGGGTAACAGTGACTCAAATGCAACACCAAAACACAACTTGGGACCAGTTAAACATTCTATAAAATAGATACTAATGCCTTATAACTTTCCTTCTTTATGGAATTAAAAAAAAAAAAAAGGTGCCACATGTCCTACTGGAGGGAAAAAAAGGAAAGGTTGACTCTTCTAATACTGGTGGTTAACACCTATCAGAAGTCATGGTTTCAGCACATACACACCCACACCAGTTTCTGTGCCCAGAAGGTAGCTATAAGATTCCTGATGGTAGTACGATAGCACCTTAAAAAAAAAAATGTGGCTTGCTTCATCCTTTGACCTTGATACTACACTTGACAGATAATAAACAGAAGCCAAGGCTACTCAAAGAATAAGAGGAACCAAATGAAATATCAAAGCAGAGATCTGAGCACATGATTCGCAAGTGAGAAACAATGTCTATTTCAAGGCAAAATCCAAGTCTATTTCAAAAAGTTCAACAAGAAAGTATTCAGAGGTGATCCACTGATTAACTCAAGTAAACACCTCCAAGTTCACCTTGTTCACCTCCAAGTAAACAATGCATTAGGCAAAAAGGGGAGAAGAAGTGGCCATATCCCTCCATCTTCTCAATAATGGTACCTAGTGATCAATCACTCCATTCAAATGAGCTCCAGTTACTAGCACAGTCAACATACCACTTTCTCCTCTTCATTATATGGACAAAGGTAAAAATATTAATAAGAGAAATAAAAGGCCCCCAAACTTTAAGGTATTATGTTCTAGCTGCCAAACATTTAGAACATAAGTTGGCAAAAAGAATTTGTCCTAGAATTTTCCTGAAGAATACATTACAATAATCAGGCAATAAATATAACTTGGTTTCTATTCCCACACTACCAGAAAAGACCACAAACATCTAAAGAAATTATCTTTTTAAAACTGATATAAATTTAAGGTAAAACCCTCTTAAAAAATGATGAAAGAACCAGTTTCTGAGCAAATACAGGGTAGGTATGATAACAAAGGTTTGCTTTAAGACCCTTGTATTTTAGTACTTGGTTTTCATTTCAGAAAACACCTACTGTGTGAGAACACACAGAATTCATGTTTCTCATAGCTAACCTATGTTTCAATGCCCGAAACATTTGTTTTAAACATGCTTTTTAAAGGAACCCATTGTAAGTACTGCTCTCTTTATAAAAGCAGAGGTTTATTACCATTGGATTTGAATCTGCTATGAGATCCCGCAGAGAATCCAGAAATCCCTGATCTTCCACCATTTGGGCATTGATATCATGGAGTTTTGCCACACAGACTGCTGCTGTTTTCCGAACATAGGGATCTTCATCCTTCAAGCACTTGCGGAGAGGCTCACAGAGATATTCTGTAATCTTGTCCACCCGGATGCACCCCATGGTCCTGACTGCTAAGGCCCGAATTAGAGGATTGGGATCTTCACAGTCCTAAAAAAAAAAAAAAAAAAAAAAAAGAAAAAGAAAAGAAAGAAATGGAAGGAAGGAAGAATGAATCATTGACAACTACAGGTGTACATGGTGACTAAAAGTAACAGTCTAGTTTCTATAAACCACAAAAGAATATTTCCTTAATGTAAGCTTCCAGTTATATTCTACATCAGAACACTCATCTCCCATGCTATTGTTTCCTAAGTACAAATCTTAGTTGCCTATTTAAGAGCTTAGGTTAGGAATTCATTTAACTGTTTTACAAACACAATGAAAAAATGCCCAGCAGGATTCATTCCAGGACTAGGCAGAAGCTTAGTAAGCTGGTATTACCACCCCCTTGGCCATTAGTGAACATGCCTTAACAACAGGGAAAAAATGAGGAATTGGAAAGATGTGTCCTACTCCAGAGTCAGCCTCTAAATACCAAGCAGAGAGAAAAGAGGGCTGGACTTTCTGGGGCCTACAGCCAAGAAAGCATAGGAAAAGAGAAACTGGTTTAGGCCTGATCTAAGTTTCTAGAGTTAAACAGCAGAGAGGGCCCTCTGAGGTACATTCTGCTTTTTTTTTTTTTTTTAAATGAGGGGTTTATTTTAAAATAATCTCTACACCCAACATGGGGCTCAAACTCATCACCCCAAGATCAAGAGTCGCATGCTCTACCAACTAAGCCAGCCAGGCACCCGAACACTCTCCTTTATTAGCAAATGCTTCCAAATACAGTACAAAGAGAATACTCCTTAAATTGCCCTACATTAAAAAATTTCTTTAAACATTATAAACCTATGTACATGCTAACTTCCAAAAAACATAAACTAAATTATCTTTCCAATGATGTAGTCCATCTATGAACCACCACACAGAAAGAATGAAATATCGTGGGGTGCCTGGTGGCTCAGTCATTAAGCGTCTGCCTTCGGCTCAGGTCATGATGCCAGGGTCCTGGGATGGAGCCCCGCATCAGGCTCCCTGCCCCGCAAGAAGCCTGCTTCTCCCTCTCCCATTCCTCCTGCTTGTGTTCCCTCTCTCGCTGTGACTCTGTCAAATAAATAAAATCTTTAAAAAAAAAAAAATGAAATGTCATGTTCTCTGATTCTGTACTATGTAGCTAAACATAGGAAGAGAACAAAAAGTCCATGAGAAGAAAGCATATTGTTTATTTTTCAAAACAGTCTAACAGAAGCTAATTTTAGAAATGCTGTTTTTGTTTTTTTAATGGAGACTAAATTTCTGAGAGAAAAAACACTAGTTAAAAAAAGATACATATTAATAGGAACAATCTCATTATTATGTCTATCAAATCTAATGACAGGAAAATTTGACTGCATATTCAATAGTAAGAAATTTTTTAATGGTCAATTTTTTTAGGATGTGACAATGGTATTGTAGTTATATTTAAAAAAGAGATCTTGGGGCGCCTGGGTGGTGCAGTCGGTTGAGCATCGGACTCTTGGTTTCAGCTCAGGTCATGATCTCAGGGTTGTGAAATCGAGCCCTGAGTCTGCTTAAGACTCTAATTCTGCCCCCGACTCCCCTCCAACCCCACACTCCCCGCACACGCACTCACACTCTCTCTCAAATAAATAAATCTTAAAAGAGATCTTATTCTGACAAATGTAAGGATGAAATGATTTTTCATCTTTATGATGTTTGGGATTTGCTTTAAAATTAGCCAGTAAGAGAAGGAGAGGGAGTTAGGAAAGCATGTATGGGGAGAATAAATTAAATAAGAGTGGTCATGGGTTGGTAACTACTGAAACTACAAGATGGGGATTTAGGAATTTATAATACTATTTCCTCTACTTGAATATGTTTCCATAATAAAAAAAAAAATCAAGTGTTGAGACCTATTAAGTAAAAAAAACCAGAAGTAGTCACTCCTGCAGTTTCCACTACTTCTGACCCATAAGCATAGTTTCTCCAAAGATAAAACTTTAGATAAAGCCCAGGCTGTCAGCCTGGGAAGGTAAAACACTGAGGTTTCTTCACCTGGCTTTCTTCTCCCATCTGGCAAGGATGCACCAAAACCAGCTAACAGAAGGCTCTCCATATGGTTTGAACTGGAGGACGAATGCTGGCATAAAGAATGCTTAAAAACATCAACACTCCTAGTCACTGCCAGTACTTCTCTAGAGGTCCTCTTTTGGAACAGAGGTGGCTTATTTGCAATGCAGATGTTAACTATATCAAGACACACTTCTGAAAAGGTTACTTGAGGTAGATGAGACTGGTCTTGAGTTCCTTGGGGGGGGAGAGATGTTACCTTCACAAAGCTGTTGACAGCCATGATGGCCATGTCTGGCTGACTCTTGGCGTAGTTCATCAAATAGAGATAAACAAGCTTCTTTAATTCCAGGTTGTCAGTTTGCATACAGTTCACTACATCTGGAAAGAGAGAACT